TGGTGTTGGGGTCACTCTCTACTGGTGTTGGTATCACTGTCTACTGGTGTTGGTGTCACTGTCTACTTGTGTTGGTGTCACTGTCTACTGGTGTTGGGTTCTCTCTCTACTGGTGTTGGGGTCACTGTCTACTGGTGTTGGGGTCACTGTTCTATGGCGGTTTGGGTCACTCTATACTGGCGTTGGTGTCACTTGTCTATGAGTTGGTGTCACTGATATGTCTATTGGTGTTGGTGTCACTGTCTACTGGTGTCGGTGTCACTGTCTACTGGTGTTGGGGTCACTGTCTACTGGTGTTGGTGTCACTGTCTACTGGTGTTGGTGTCACTGTCTACTGGTGATTGGTGTCACGGTCATACTAGGTGTTGGTGTCACTGTCTACTGGTGTTGGGGTCACTGTCTACTGGTGTTGGTGTCACTGTCTACTGGTGTTGGGGTCACTGTCTACTGGTGTTGGTGTCACTGTCTACGGTTGTTGGGGTCAGTGTCTACTAGTGTTTGGGTCACTGTCTACTGTTGTTGGGGTCAGTGTCTACTAGTGTTGGGGTCACTGTCTAGTGTTGTTGGGGTCAGTGTCTACTAGTGTTTGGGTCACTCTCTATACTGGTGTTGGGGTCAGTGTCTACTAGTGTTTGGGTCACTCTCTATACTGGTGTTGGGGTCAGTGTCTACTGGTGTTGGGGTCACTGTCTACTGTTGTTGGGGTCAGTGTCTTCTGGTGTTGGGGTCACTGTCTACTGGTGTCAGGGTCACTCTCTACTGGTGTTGGGGTCACTCTCTACTGGTGTTGGGGTCACTGTCTACTGTTGTTGGGGTCAGTGTCTACTGGTGTTGGGGTCACTGTCTACTGTTGTTGGGGTCAGTGTCTACTAGTGTTTGAGTCACTCTCTACTGGTGTTGGGGTCAGTGTCTACTAGTGTTGGGGTCACTGTCTAGTGTTGTTGGGGTCAGTGTCTACTGGTGTTGGGGTCACTGTCTACTGTTGTTGGGGTCAGTGTCTACTGGTGTTGGGGTCACTGTCTACTGTTGTTGGGGTCAGTGTCTACTAGTGTTTGGGTCACTCTCTATACTGGTGTTGGGGTCAGTGTCTACTAGTGTTGGGGTCACTGTCTAGTGTTGTTGGGGTCAGTGTCTACTCAGTGTGTAAGATCATGTCCACCTGTGACCCCGCACCTTGCACCTCTTTCATCAACAACGGTCGGTATTGTAAACCGGGGACTCAGAGCTACGTAAACGGGACTCGAGCTACGTGCCACAACACCAACATGTACAACATTCTAAACTTCTATTGTGTACATTAGCTTTGGGCACTAATTAATAAAAAAGTTTTATATATATCTTTGTCAAATGTAGGATTTAATTTCATATTTAATGTGTTTTATATTAGGTATCTTTTAATAGCGTGCTTTTAATGTTCATAAGGAGGACCAGCTTTATCAAAACTGTTTTTGAAGGTTGTGATAGGAGGATTTGAACCTTAAAGGTTCTTTGAGTGTGTGTGTATCAACTTTTACAACCACGACTGAGAGGTTAGCAGTATTTTTATGACTTAAAACCTCTGTCAAAACTTGAGAAAAAAAATACAACTTTGGGCAGTAAGAGTATCACGACTCGTCTCTTGAAGGACCATAGATTCTTAAATATTTAAACAACGGATCCAGTCTTAATTATGTGCCTCTTGGGAACCTGGAAATGCTCACTAACAATCCCATGAATTACTGGAAGGTTTTAATTAAAGTTTGTTGATGCCGATGGGAAGGCTGGCAAGGAAGTTTGAAATAACGTACATGTGATATAACAGGAAGTGTGGCTTACGCCTTATATTACGTATCAAAGGAAACATTTAGATTTTTTCCTAGCGTGGATTTCAAGATTTTCTTTTTCTCAGTTTCCTCTTCAAGAATTGAGAAAACAAGTAGAAAGTAGATTAAATTTTGAGGAGTTATCATCAGTTGTTGTTTTTATCATTTCTATATTCTAATCTCTTCAATATGGTTCTTTTCTCAGTAGAATATAGGAAGTGTAAAGTGAGGTGTACAGTTGTGTGGATCTATAACTTGTAGGTCTGGCAGCAGGGATAACTTGCTGGTCTGGCAGCAGGGATAACTTGTAGGTCTGCCAGCAGGGATAACTTGCAGGTCTGGCAGCAGGGATAACTTGCTGGTCTGGCAGCAGGGTAATTGTTAGGTCTGGCAAGCAGGGTATACTTGCAGGTCTGGCAGCAGGGATAACTTGTAGGTCTGCCAGCAGGGATAACTTGCAGGTCTGGCAGCAGGGATAACTTGCTGGTCTGGCAGCAGGGATAACTTGTAGGTCTGGCAGCAGGGATAACTTGCAGGTCTGGCAGCAGGGATAACTTGTAGGTCTGGCAGCAGGGATAACTTGTAGGTCTGGCAGCAGGGATAACTTGTAGGTCTGGCAGCAGGGATAACTTGTAGGTCTGGCAGCAGGGATAACTTGTAGGTCTGGCAGCAGGGATAACTTGTAGGTCTGGCAGCAGCGGATAACTTGCAGGTCTGGCAGAAGGGATTAACTTGTGGATCTGGCAGCAGGGATAACTTGCAGGTTGGCAGCAGGATAACTTGCAGGTCTGGCAGCAGGGATAACTTGGCAGGTCTGGCAGCAGGGATAACTTGCAGGTCTGGCAGCAGGGATAACTTGCAGGTCTGGCAGCAGGGATAACTTGCAGGTCTGGCAGCAGGGATAACTTGCAGGTCTGGCAGCAGGGATAACTTGCAGGTCTGCCAGCAGGGATAACTTGTAGGTCTGGCAGCAGGGATAACTTGCAGGTCTGCCAGCAGGGATAACTTGCAGGTCTGGCAGCAGGGATAACTTGCAGGTCTGGCAGCAGGGATAACTTGTAGGTCTGCCAGCAGGGATAACTTGCAGGTCGGCAGCAGGATAACTTTAGTCTGGCAGCAGGGATAACTTGTAGGTCTGGCAGCAGGGATAACTTGCAGGTCTGCCAGCAGGGATAACTTGCAGGTCTGGCAGCAGGGATAACTTGCAGGTCTGCCAGCAGGGATAACTTGTAGGTCTGGCAGCAGGGATAACTTGCAGGTCTGCCAGCAGGGATAACTTGCAGGTCTGGCAGCAGGGATAACTTGCAGGTCTGGCAGCAGGGATAACTTGTAGGTCTGCCAGCAGGGATAACTTGCAGGTCTGGCAGCAGGGATAACTTGTAGGTCTGGCAGCAGGGATAACTTGCAGGTCTGCCAGCAGGGATAACTTGCAGGTCTGCCAGCAGGGATAACTTGCAGGTCTGCCAGCAGGGATAACTTGCAGGTCTGGCAGCAGGGATAACTTGCAGGTCTGCCAGCAGGGATAACTTGCAGGTCTGCCAGCAGGGATAACTTGCAGGTCTGCCAGCAGGATAACTTGCAGTCTGGCAGCAGGATAACTTGCAGGTCTGCCAGCAGGGATAACTTGCAGTCTGCCACAGGGAAACTTGCAGGTCTGCCAGCAGGGATAACTTGCAGGTCTGCAGCAGGATAACTTGCAGTCTGGCAGCAGGGATAACTTGCAGGTCTGCCAGCAGGGATAACTTGCAGGTCTGGCAGCAGGGATAACTTGCAGGTCTGCCAGCAGGGATAACTTGCAGGTCTGACAGCAGGGATAACTTGCAGGTCTGCCAGCAGGGATAACTTGCAGGTCTGCCAGCAGGGATAACTTGCAGGTCTGGCAGCAGGGATAACTTGCAGGTCTGGCAGCAGGGATAACTTGCAGGTCTGGCAGCAGGGATAACTTGCAGGTCTGCCAGCAGGGATAACTTGCAGGTCTGCCAGCAGGGATAACTTGCAGGTCTGGCAGCAGGGATAACTTGCAGGTCTGGCAGCAGGATAACTTGCAGGTCTGCCAGCAGGGATAACTTGCAGGTCTGGCAGCAGGGATAACTTGCAGGTCTGGCAGCAGGGATAACTTGCAGGTCTGGCAGCAGGGATAACTTGCAGGTCTGCCAGCAGGGATAACTTGCAGGTCTGGCAGCAGGGATAACTTGCAGTTCTGGCAGCAGGGATAACTTGCAGGTCTGCCAGCAGATAACTTGCAGTCTGGCAGCAGGATAACTTGCAGGTCTGGCAGCAGGGATAACTTGCAGTCTGGCAGCAGGATAACTTGCAGTCTGGCAGCAGGGATAACTTGCAGGTCTGGCAGCAGGGATAACTTACAGGTCTGGCAGCAGGGATAACTTGCAGGTCTGACAGCAGGGATAACTTGCAGGTCTGGCAGCAGGGATAACTTGAAGGTCTGACAGCAGGATAACTTGCAGGTCTGGCAGCAGGATAACTTGCAGGTCTGCAGCAGGATAACTTACAGGTCTGGCAGCAGGGATAACTTGCAGGTCTGACAGCAGGGATAACTTGCAGGTCTGGCAGCAGGGATAACTTGAAGGTCTGACAGCAGGGATAACTTGCAGGTCTGGCAGCAGGGATAACTTGCAGGTCTGCCAGCAGGGATAACTGCAGCTGACAGCAGGATAACTTGCAGGTCTGGCAGCAGGGATTACTGCAGGTCTGGAAGCAGGGATAACTTGCAGGTCTGGCAGCAGGATAACTTGCAGTCTGACAGCAGGGATAACTTGCAGTCTGGCAGCAGGGTACCTTGCAGGACTGGCAGCAGGATAACTTGCAGGTCTGGCAGCAGGGATAACTTGCAGTCTGGCAGCAGGATAAACTTGCAGGTCTGCAGCAGGGATAACTTGCAGATCTGGCAGCAGGATAACTTGCAGGTCTGGCAGCAGGATAACTTGCAGGTCTGCAGCAGGATAACTTGCAGGTCCTGGCAGCAGGATAACTTGCAGGTCTGACTGCAGGGATAACTTGCAGGTCTGGCAGCAGGGATAACTTGCTGGTCTAGCAGCAGGGATAACTTGCAGGTCTGGCAGCAGGGATAACTTGCAGTTCTGGCAGCAGGGATAACTTGCAGGTCTGGCAGCAGGGATAACTTGCAGGTCTGCAGCAGAATAACTTGCAGGTCTGGCAGCAGGGATAACTTGTAGGTCTGGCAGCAGGGATAACTTGCAGGTCTGGCAGCAGGGATAACTTGCAGGTCTTGCAGCAGGGATAACTTGCAGGTCTGGCAGCAGGGATAACTTGCAGGTCTGGCAGCAGGGATAACTTGTAGGTCTGGCAGTAGGGATAACTTGCAGGTCTGGCAGCAGGGATAACTTGCAGGTCTGGCAGCAGGGATAACTTGCAGGTCTGGCAGCAGGGATAACTTGCAGGTCTGCCAGCAGGGATAACTTGCAGGTCTGGTAGCAGGGATAACTTGCAGGTCTGGCAGCAGGGATAACTTGCAGGTCTGGCAGCAGGGATAACTTGCAGGTCTGGCAGCAGGAAATGCAGGTCTGGCAGTAGGGATAACTTGCAGGTCTGGCAGCAGGGATAACTTGCAGGTCTGGCAGCAGGGATAACTTGCAGGTCTGGCAGCAGGGATAACTTGCAGGTCTGGCAGCAGGGATAACTTGCAGGTCTGCAGCAGGGATAACTTGCAGGTCTGGCAGCAGGGATAACTTGCAGGTCTGGCAGCAGGGATAACTTGCAGGTCTGGCAGCAGGGATAACTTGCAGGTCTGGCAGCAGGGATAACTTGCAGGTCCTGGCAGCAGAATAACTTGCAGGTCTGGCAGCAGGGATAACTTGTAGTCTGGCAGTAGGAAACTTGCAGGTCTGGCAGTAGGATAACTTGCAGGTCTGGCAGCAGGGATAACTTGCAGGTCTGGCAGTAGGGATAACTTGCAGGTCTGGCAGCAGGGATAACTTGCAGGTCTGGCAGCAGGGATAACTTGCAGGTCTGGCAGCAGGGATAACTTGCAGGTCTGGCAGCAGGGATAACTTGCAGGTCTGGCAGCAGGGATAACTTGCAGGTCTGGCAGCAGGGATAACTTGCAGGTCTGGCAGCAGGGATAACTTGCAGTCTGGCAGCAGGGATAACTTGCAGGTCTGGCAGCAGGGATAACTTGCAGGTCTGGCAGCAGGATAACTTGCAGGTCTGCAGCAGGGATAACTTGCAGGTCTGGCAGCAGGATAACTTGCAGGCTGGCAGCAGGATAACTTGCAGGTCTGGCAGCAGGGATAACTTGCAGGTCTGGCAGCAGGGATAACTTGCAGATCTGGCAGCAGGGATAACTTGCAGGTCTGGCAGCAGGGATAACTTACAGGTCTGGCAGCAGGGATAACTTGCAGGTCTGACAGCAGGGATAACTTGCAGGTCTGGCAGCAGGGATAACTTGAAGGTCTGCCAGCAGGGATAACTTGCAGGTCTGGCAGCAGGGATAACTTGCAGGTCTGCCAGCAGGGATAACTTGCAGGTCTGACAGCAGGGATAACTTGCAGGTCTGGCAGCAGGGATTACTTGCAGGTCTGGCAGCAGGGATAACTTGCAGGTCTGACAGCAGGGATAACTTGCAGGTCTGGAAGCAGGGATAACTTGCAGGTCTGGCAGCAGGGATAACTTGCAGGTCTGACAGCAGGGATAACTTGCAGGTCTGGCAGCAGGGATACCTTGCAGGACTGGCAGCAGGGATAACTTGCAGGTCTGGCAGCAGGGATAACTTGCAGGTCTGGCAGCAGGGATAACTTGCAGGTCTGGCAGCAGGGATAACTTGCAGATCTGGCAGCAGGGATAACTTGCAGGTCTGGCAGCAGGGATAACTTGCAGGTCTGACTGCAGGGATAACTTGCAGGTCTGGCAGCAGTGATAACTTGCAGGTCTGCCAGCAGGGATATCTTGCAGGTCTGGCAGCAGGGATAACTTGCAGGTCTGCCAGCAGGGATAACTTGCAGGTCTGGCAGCAGGGATAACTTGCAGGTCTGGCAGCAGGGATAACTTGCAGGTCTGGCAGCAGGGATAACTTGCAGGTCTGGCAGCAGGGATAACTTGCAGGTCTGGCAGCAGAGATAACTTGTAGGTCTGGCAGCAGGGATAACTTGCAGGTCTGGCAGCAGGGATAACTTGCAGGTCTGGCAGCAGGGATAACTTGCAGGTCTGGCAGTAGGGATAACTTGCAGGTCTGGCAGCAAGGATAACTTGCAGGTCTGGCAGCAGGGATAACTTGCAGGTCTGGCAGCAGGGATAACTTGCAGGTCTGCCAGCAGGGATAACTTGCATGTCTGGCAGCAGGGATAACTTGCAGGTCTGGCAGCAGGGATAACTTGCAGGTCTGGCAGCAGGGATAACTTGCAGGTCTGGCAGCAGGGATAACTTGCAGGTCTGGCAGCAGGGATAACTTGCAGGTCTGCCAGCAGGGATAACTTGCAGGTCTGGCAGCAGGGATAACTTGCAGGTCTGGCAGCAGGGATAACTTGCAGGTCTGGCAGCAGGGATAACTTGCAGGTCTGGCAGCAGGATAACTTGCAGGTCTGCAGTAGGGATAACTGCAGGTCTGGCAGCAGGGATAACTTGCAGGTCTGGCAGCAGGGATAACTTGCAGGTCTGGCAGCAGGGATAACTTGCAGGTCTGACTGCAGGGATAACTTGCAGGTCTGGCAGCAGGGATAACTTGCTGGTCTAGCAGCAGGGATAACTTGCAGGTCTGGCAGCAGGGATAACTTGCAGGTCTGGCAGCAGGGATAACTTGCAGGTCTGGCAGAGGGATAACTTGCAGTCTGGCAGCAGGAATAACTTGCAGGTCTGGCAGCAGGGATAACTTGTAGGTCTGGCAGCAGGGATAACTTGCAGGTCTGGCAGCAGGGATAACTTGCAGGTCTGGCAGCAGGGATAACTTGCAGGTCTGGCAGCAGGGATAACTTGCAGGTCTGGCAGCAGGGATAACTTGCAGGTCTGGCAGCAGGGATAACTTGCAGGTCTGGCAGCAGACATAACTTGTAGATCTGGCAGCAGGGATAACTTACAGGTCTGGCAGCAGGGATAACTTGCAGGTCTGGCAGCAGGGATAACTTGCAGGTCTGGCAGTAGGGATAACTTGCAGGTCTGGCAGCAGGGATAACTTGCAGGTCTGGCAGCAGGGATAACTTGCAGGTCTGGCAGCAGGGATAACTTGCAGGTCATGCCAGCAGGATAACTTGCAGGTCTGGCAGCAGGATAACTTGCAGGTCTGGTAGCAGGGATAACTTGCAGGTCTGGCAGCAGGATAACTTGCAGGTCTGGCAGCAGGGATAACTTGCAGGTCTGGCAGCAGGGATAACTTGCAGGTCTGGCAGCAGGGATAACTTGCAGGTCTGGCAGTAGGGATAACTTGCAGGTCTGGCAGCAAGGATAACTTGCAGGTCTGGCAGCAGGGATAACTTGCAGGTCTGGCAGCAGGGATAACTTGCAGGTCTGCCAGCAGGGATAACTTGCAGGTCTGGCAGCAGCAGGGATAACTTGCAGGTCTGGCAGCAGGGATAACTTGCAGGTCTGCCAGCAGGGATAACTTGCAGGTCTGGCAGCAGGGATAACTTGCAGGTCTGGCAGCAGGGATAACTTGCAGGTCTGGCAGCAGGGATAACTTGCAGGTCTGGCAGCAGGGATAACTTGCAGGTCTGCCAGCAGGGATAACTTGCAGGTCTGGCAGCAGCAGGGATAACTTGCAGGTCTGGCAGCAGGGATAACTTGCAGGTCTGCCAGCAGGGATAACTTGCAGGTCTGGCAGCAGGGATAACTTGCTGGTCTGGCAGCAGGGATAACTTGCAGGTCTGGCAGCAGGGATAACTTGCAGGTCTGGCAGTAGGGATAACTTGCAGGTCTGGCAGCAGGGATAACTTGCAGGTCTGCCAGCAGGGATAACTTGCAGGTCTGGCAGCAGGGATAACTTGCAGGTCTGGCAGCAGGGATAACTTGCAGGTCTGGCAGCAGTGATAACTTCTTACAGGACGCGGTAGATAAACAATATTCCTACCTTGCCGGAGAGGTAGTTTGGTACTGTCTTCTTCGCTTCCTGTTCAGCAAAATAGAAAAGTGATTATTTCAGAAGTTTGGTTTTATTCACTACAAAAAATTGTGTTATAATATTTATATGTCCTGGAAGTAGGTTGGTAGACAACAACCACACAGGGAGGTACTACCATCCTGTGGTAGTAGTGGTAACAACAACCCACAGGAGTACTACCATCCTGGGAAGTAGTTGGTAGACAACAACCACACAGGGAGTACTACCATCCTGTGGTAGTAGGTTGGTAGACAACAACCACACAGGGAGGTACTACCATCCTGTGGTAGTAGGTTGGTAGACAACAACCACACAGGAGTACTACCATCCTGTGTAGTAGGTTGTGTAGACAACAACCACACAGGGAGGTACTACCATCCTGTGGTAGTAGGTTGGTAGACAACAACCACACAGGGAGGTACTACCATCCTGTGGTAGTAGGTTGGTAGACACAACCACACAGGGAGGTACTACCATCCTGTGGTAGTAGTTGGATAGACACAACCACACAGGGAGTACTACCATCCTGTGGTAGTAGGTTGGTAGACAACAACCACACAGGGAGGTACTACCATCCTGTGGTAGTAGGTTGGTAGACAACAACCACACGGGAGGTACTACCATCCTGTGGATAGTAGGTTGGAGACAACAACCACACAGGGAGGTACTACCATCCTGTGTAGTAGGTTGGTAACAACAACCACACAGGAGGTTACCATCCTGTGTAGTAGTTGGTAGACAACAACCACACAGGAGGTACTACCATCCTGTGGTAGTAGGTTGGTAAACACAACCACACAGGGAGGTACTACCATCCTGTGGTATAGGTTGGTAGACAACAACCACACAGGGAGGTACTACCATCCTGTGGTAGTAGGTTGGTAGACAACAACCACACAGGGAGGTACTACCATCCTGTGGTAGTAGTTGGTAGACAACAACCACACAGGGAGGTACTACCATCCTGTGGTAGTAGGTTGGTAGACAACAACCACACAGGGAGGTACTACCATCCTGTGGTAGTAGGTTGGTAGACAACAACCACACAGGGAGGTACTACCATCCTGTGGAAGTAGGTTGGTAGACAACAACCACACAGGAGGTACTACCATCCTGTGGTAGTAGGTTGGTAGACAACAACCACACAGGGAGGTACTACCAACCTGTGGTAGTAGGTTGGTAGACAACAACCACACAGGGAGGTACTACCATCCTGTGGTAAGTAGGTTGGTAACAACAACCACACAGGGAGGTAACTACCATCCTGTGGTAGTAGGTTGTAGACAACAACCACACAGGGAGGTACTACCATCCTGTGGTAAGTAGGTTGGTAGACAACAACCACACAGGGAGGTACTACCATCCTGTGTAGTAGGTTGGTAGACAACAACCACACAGGGAGTACTACCATCCTGTGGTAGTAGGTTGGTAGACAACAACCACACAGGGAGGTACTACCATCCTGTGGTAGTAGGTTGGTAGACAACAACCACACAGGGAGGTACTACCATCCTGTGGTAGTAGGTTGGTAGACAACCACACAGGGAGGTACTACCATCCTGTGGTAGTAGGTTGGTAGACAACAACCACACAGGGAGGTACTACCATCCTGTGGTAGTAGGTTGTAGACAACAACCACACAGGGAGGTACTACCATCCTGTGGTAGAAGGTTGGTAGACAACAACCACACGGGAGTACTACCATCCTGTGGTAGTAGGTTGGTAGACAAGCAACCACACAGGGGTACTACCATCCTGTGGTAGTAGGTTGGTAGACAACAACCACACAGGGAGGTACTACCATCCTGTGGTAGTAGGTTGGTAGACAACAACCACACAGGGAGGTACTACCATCCTGTGGTAGTAGGTTGGTAGACAACAACCACACAGGGAGGTACTACCATCCTGTGGTAGTAGGTTGGTAGACAACAACCACAACAGGGAGGTACTACCATCCTGTGGTAGTAGGTTGGTAGACAACAACCACACAGGGAGGTACTACCATCCTGTGGTAGTAGGTTGGTAGACAACAACCACACAGGGAGGTACTACCATCCTGTGGTAGTAGGTTGGTAGACAGCAACCACACAGGGAGGTACTACCATCCTGTGGTAGTAGGTTGGTAGACAACAACCACACAGGGAGGTACTACCATCCTGTGGTAGTAGGTTGGTAGACAACAACCACCCAGGGAGGTACTACCATCCTGTGGTAGTAGGTTGGTAGACAGCAGCCACCCTGGGACGTGCTTCCGTCCTGTGGTAGTAGGTTGGTAGACAGCAACCACACAGGGAGGTACTACCATCCTGTGGTAGTAGGTTGGTAGACAGCAGCCACCCTGGGACGTGCTTCCGTCCTGTGGTAGTAGGTTGGTAGACAGCAACCACACAGGGAGGTACTACCATCCTGTGGTAGTAGGTTGGTAGACAGCAGCCACCCTGGGACGTGCTTCCGTCCTGTGGTAGTAGGTTGGTAGACAACAACCACACAGGGAGGTACTACCATCCTGTGATAGAAGGTTTGTAGACAACAACTACGCAGAGAGGTACTACCATCCTCTGGTAGAAGATTGGTAGACAGCAACCACCCAGGGAGGTACTACCATCCTCTTGTAGAAGGTTGGTAGACAGCAACCACCCTGGGAGGTACTACCATCCTGTGCTAGAAGGTTGGTACACAACAACTACAGAGAGAGGTACTACCATCCTGTGATAGGTTGGCAGACAACAACCACCCTTAGAGGTACTTCCATCCTGTGGTACTAGGTTGGTAGACAGCAACTACCCAGGAAGGTACTATCATCCTGTGGTAGAAGGATGGTAGACAACAACCACCCAGAGAGGAACTACCATCCTGTGGTACTAGGTTGGTAGACAGCAACTACCCAGGAAGGTACTACCATCCTCTGTTAGAAGGTTGGTAGACAACAACCACTTAGAGACATACTACCATCCTGTGGTAGTAGGTTGGTAGACAGCAACTACTCAGGGAGGTATTACCATCCTGTGGTAGAAGGTTGGTAGACAACAACCACCCAGGGAGGTACTACCATCCTGTGGTAGTAGGTTGGTAGACAGCAGCCACCCTGGGACGTGCTTCCGTCCTGTGGTAGTAGGTTGGTAGACAGCAACCACCCAGGGAGGCACTACCGTCTTGTGGTAGTAGGTTGGTAGACAGCAACTACCTAGGGAAGTACTACTGTCCTGTGGTAGTAGGTTGGTAGACAGCAACTACCCAGGGAGGCACTACCGTCTTGTGGTAGTACGTTGGTAGACAGCAACTACCCAGGGAGGTACTACCGTCCTGTAGCAGTAGGTTGGTAGACAGCAACTACCCAAGGAGGTACTATCGTTATGTGGTAGTAGGTGGTAGACAGCAACTACCCAAGGAGGTGCTACCATCCTGTGGTAGTAGCTTGGTAGACAGCAACTACCAATGGAGGTAGTACCATCTTGTTGTAGTAAGTAGGTAGATACCAACTACCCAGGGAGGTTCTACCATCTTGTGGTAGTAGGTTTGTAGACAGCAACCACCCTGGGAGGTACTACCCTCCTGTGGCAGAAGGTTGGAAGAAAACCACCCAGGGAGGTACTACCATCCTAGGGTAGTAGGTTGGTAGACACCAACCACAAAAGAAGGTACTACCATCCTGGGGTAGTATGTTGGTAGACAGCAACTACCGAGGGAGGTATAACCCTCTTGTGGTAGTAGGTTGGAAGACAACAACCACCCAGGGAGGTACTACCATCCGGTGGTAGTAGGCTGCTAGACGGCAACTACCCAGGGAGGTAATACCGTCCTGTGGTAGTATTTTGGTAGACAACAACTGCCAATGGAGGTACTACCATCCTATGGTAGAAGGTTGCTAGACAGCACCCACCCAATAAGGTACTATCGTCCTGTTGTAGTAGGTTGGTAGACAGCAATCACCCAGGAAGGTACTACAGTACTGTGGTAGTAGGCTGGTAGACAGCAACCACCCAGGAAGGTACTACCGCACTGTGGTAGTAGGTTGGTAGACAGCAACCACCCAGGAAGGTACTACCCCACTGTGGTAGTAGGTTGGTAGACAGCAACCACCCAGGAAGGTACTACCGCACTGTCGTAGTAGGTTGGTAGACAGCAACCACCCA